AGGGGGTGGCGAAGGGAGTGGGGAGCATGGAGGGGGGTGGGAGAGCGTGTCGAAACCCATGCCGTACTGCGTTGCCGTACACCTCATGGTGATGCAGGGGCGTTCAGAGGAGCTTAAGCGGCGAGGGGGTGGTGAGGGGAGTGGGGAGCATGAAGAGGGGGGTGGGAGTGGGGAGCATGGGTAAAACACCAAACAGTTTCGCTGTACGACAGGGGTGGTCAGAGGTGCCAGAGCGACGAGGGGCTGGTGAGGGGAGTGGGGAGCATGGAGGGGGGTGGTCACGGTCACCAAACAGTTTGACGCTGATTTTGGAAAGTAACCAAGAAACTGCGAATGGCTCATTAATTCAGTTATAGCTTAATCGAGATCACAATGCAAGATATTGCAACAAGAAGATGGGTGATACGCGGTGCCCGAAGCCATGCCGTACCATGTCGCTGTACGACAGGGGCGTTCAGAGGTGCTGGAGGGACGAGGGGGTGGTGAGGGGAGTGGGGAGCATGAAGGGGGGTGGGAGGGCGTGTCGAAACCCATGCCGTACTGCGTTGCCGTACACCTCATGGTGATGCAGGAGCGTTCAGAGGTGCTGGAGGGACGAGGGGGTGGTGAGGGGAGTGGGGAGCATAGAGGGGGGTGGGAGGGCGTGTCGAAACCCATGCCGTACTGCGTTGCCGTACACCTCATGGTGATGCAGGGGCGTTCAGAGGTGCTGGAGGGATGAGGGGGAGGTGAGGGGAGTGGGGAGCATGAAGGGGGGTGGGAGAGCGTGTCGAAACCCATGCCGTACTGCGTTGCCGTACACCTCATGGTGATGGAGGAGCGTTCAGAGGTGCTGGAGGGATGAGGGGGAGGTGAGGGGAGTGGGGAGCATGAAGGGGGGTGGGAGAGCGTGTCGAAACCCATGCCGTACTGCGTTGCTGTACACCTCATGGTGATGCAGGGGCGTTCAGAGGTGCAGGAGGGATGAGGGGGAGGTGAGGGGAGTGGGGAGCATGGAGGGGGGTGGGAGGGCGTGTCGAAACCCATGCCGTACTGCGTTGCCGTACACCTCATGGTGATGCAGGGGCTTTCAGAGGTGCTGGAGGGACGAGGGGTTGGTGAGGGGGGTGGGGAGCATGAAGAGGGGCGGGAGGGCGTGTCGAAACCCATGCCGTACTGCGTTGCCGTACACATCATGGTGATGCAGGAGCGTTCAGAGGTGCTGGAGGGACGAGGGGGTGGTGAGGGGAGTGGGGAGCATGGAGGGGGGTGGGAGTGGGGAGCATGGGTAAAACACCAAACAGTTTTACGCTGATTTTGGAAAGTAACCAAGAAACTGCGAATGGCTCATTAACTTAGTTATAGCTTAGTCGACATCACAATGCAAGATACTGCAACAAGGAGACTGGTGATACGTGGTGCCTGAAGCCATGCCGTACCGTGTCGCTGTACGACAGGGGTGGTCAGAGGAGCCAGAGCGACGAGGGGCTGGTGAGGGGAGTGGGGAGCATGGAGGGTGGTGGTCACGGTCACCAAACAGTTTGACGCTGATTTTGGAAAGTAACCAAGAAACTGCGAATGGCTCATTAATTCAGTTATAGCTTAATCGAGATCACAATGCAAGATATTGCAACAAGAAGATTGGTGATACGCTGTGCCCGAAGCCATGCCGTACCATGTCGCTGTACGACAGGGGCGTTCAGAGGTGCTGGAGGGACGAGGGGGTGGTGAGGGGAGTGGGGAGCATGAAGGGGGGTGGGAGGGCGTGTCGAAACCCATGCCGTACTGCGTTGCCGTACACCTCATGGTGATGCAGGAGCGTTCAGAGGTGCTGGAGGGACGAGGGGGTGGTGAGGGGAGTGGGGAGCATAGAGGGGGGTGGGAGGGCGTGTCGAAACCCATGCCGTACTGCGTTGCCGTACACCTCATGGTGATGCAGGGGCGTTCAGAGGTGCTGGAGGGATGAGGGGGAGGTGAGGGGAGTGGGGAGCATGAAGGGGGGTGGGAGAGCGTGTCGAAACCCATGCCGTACTGCGTTGCCGTACACCTCATGGTGATGCAGGGGCGTTCAGAGGTGCTGGAGGGATGAGGGGGAGGTGAGGGGAGTGGGGAGCATGAAGGGGGGTGGGAGAGCGTGTCGAAACCCATGCCGTACTGCGTTGCCGTACACCTCATGGTGATGCAGGGGCGTTCAGAGGTGCAGGAGGGATGAGGGGGAGGTGCGGGGAGTGGGGAGCATGGAGGGGGGTGGGAGGGCGTGTCGAAACCCATGCCGTACTGCGTTGCCGTACACCTCATGGTGATGCAGGAGCGTTCAGAGGTGCTGGAGGGACGAGGGGGTGGTGAGGGGGGTGGGGAGCATGAAGGGGGGTGGGAGAGCGTGTCGAAACCCATGCCGTACTGCGTTGCCGTACACCTCATGGTGATGCAGGGGCGTTCAGAGGTGCTGGAGGGACGAGGGGGTGGCGAGGGGAGTGGGGAGCATGAAGGGGGGTGGGAGGGCGTGTCGAAACCCATGCCGTACTGCGTTGCCGTACACATGATGGTGATGCAGGAGCGTTCAGAGGTGCTGGAGGGACGAGGGGGTGGTGAGGGGGGTGGGGAGCATGGAGGGGGGTGGGAGTGGGGAGCATGGGTAAAACACCAAACAGTTTTACGCTGATTTTGGAAAGTAACCAAGAAACTGCGAATGGCTCATTAACTTAGTTATAGCTTAGTCGACATCACAATGCAAGATACTGCAACAAGGAGACTGGTGATACGTGGTGCCTGAAGCCATGCCGTACCGTGTCGCTGTACGACAGGGGTGGTCAGAGGAGCCAGAGCGACGAGGGGCTGGTGAGGGGAGTGGGGAGCATGGAGGGTGGTGGTCACGGTCACCAAACAGTTTGACGCTGATTTTGGAAAGTAACCAAGAAACTGCGAATGGCTCATTAATTCAGTTATAGCTTAATCGAGATCACAATGCAAGATATTGCAACAAGAAGATTGGTGATACGCTGTGCCCGAAGCCATGCCGTACCATGTCGCTGTACGACAGGGGCGTTCAGAGGTGCTGGAGGGACGAGGGGGTGGTGAGGGGAGTGGGGAGCATGAAGGGGGGTGGGAGGGCGTGTCGAAACCCATGCCGTACTGCGTTGCCGTACACCTCATGGTGATGCAGGAGCGTTCAGAGGTGCTGGAGGGACGAGGGGGTTGTGAGGGGAGTGGGGAGCATAGAGGGGGGTGGGAGGGCGTGTCGAAACCCATGCCGTACTGCGTTGCCGTACACCTCATGGTGATGCAGGGGCGTTCAGAGGTGCTGGAGGGATGAGGGGGAGGTGAGGGGAGTGGGGAGCATGAAGGGGGGTGGGAGAGCGTGTCGAAACCCATGCCGTACTGCGTTGCCGTACACCTCATGGTGATGCAGGGGCGTTCAGAGGTGCTGGAGGGATGAGGGGGAGGTGAGGGGAGTGGGGAGCATGAAGGGGGGTGGGAGAGCGTGTCGAAACCCATGCCGTACTGCGTTGCTGTACACCTCATGGTGATGCAGGGGCGTTCAGAGGTGCAGGAGGGATGAGGGGGAGGTGAGGGGAGTGGGGAGCATGGAGGGGGGTGGGAGGGCGTGTCGAAACCCATGCCGTACTGCGTTGCCGTACACCTCATGGTGATGCAGGAGCGTTCAGAGGTGCTGGAGGGACGAGGGGGTGGTGAGGGGGGTGGGGAGCATGAAGGGGGGTGGGAGAGCGTGTCGAAACCCATGCCGTACTGCGTTGCCGTACACCTCATGGTGATGCAGGGGCGTTCAGAGGTGCTGGAGGGACGAGGGGGTGGCGAGGGGAGTGGGGAGCATGAAGGGGGGTGGGAGGGCGTGTCGAAACCCATGCCGTACTGCGTTGCCGTACACATGATGGTGATGGAGGAGCGTTCAGAGGTGCTGGAGGGACGAGGGGGTGGTGAGGGGGGTGGGGAGCATGGAGGGGGGTGGGAGTGGGGAGCATGGGTAAAACACCAAACAGTTTTACGCTGATTTTGGAAAGTAACCAAGAAACTGCGAATGGCTCATTAACTTAGTTATAGCTTAGTCGACATCACAATGCAAGATATTGCAACAAGGAGACTGGTGATACGTGGTGCCTGAAGCCATGCCGTACCGTGTCGCTGTACGACAGGGGTGGTCAGAGGAGCCAGAGCGACGAGGGGGTGGTGAGGGGAGTGGGGGGCATGGAGGGGGGTGGTCACGGTCACCAAACAGTTTGACGCTGATTTTGGAAAGTAACCAAGAAACTGCGAATGGCTCATTAATTCAGTTATAGCTTAGTCGAGATCACAATGCAAGATATTGCAACAAGAAGATTGGTGATACGCTGTGCCCGAAGCCATGCCGTACCAAGTCGCTGTACGACAGGGGTGGTCATCGGCCACTAGAGTGGCGAGGGGGGTGGTGGGGGGAGTGGGGAGCATGAAGGGGGGCGGGAGGGCGTGTCGAAACCCGTGCCGTACTGCGTTATCGTACACCTCACGGTGATGCACGGGCGTTCAGAGGTGCTGGAGGGACGAGGGGGAGGTGAGGGGAGTGGGGAGCATGGAGGGGGGTGGGAGGGCGTGTCGAAACCCGTGCCGTACTGCGTTGCCGTACACCTCACGGTGATGCAGGGGCGTTCAGGGGTGCTGGAGGGACGAGGGGGAGGTGAGGGGAGTGGGGAGCATGGAGGGGGGTGGGAGGGCGTGTCGAAACCCGTGCCGTACTGCGTTGCCGTACACCTCACGGTGATGCAGGGGCGTTCAGGGGTGCTGGAGGGACGAGAGGGAGGTGAGGGGAGTGGGGAGCGTGGAGGGGGGTGGGAGGGCATGTCGAAACCTGTGCCGTACAGATGCCGTACGGCAGCAACTGTCGTACGGCCTGCTGTACGACAGTTGTCGTACACTGCCGTACAGCTGTCGTACATAGTCGTACATGTCGTACACCACATGATGCGTCACCACACATCATGGCACCTGTGCCGTACAGTGTGTTGTCGTACATGGCGGGGCACGCCTGGGGGGGGGCCGTCGCAACTTGTGTGGGGCGTGGTGTAGAGTTTGGGTGTGATTTGGGTTTTGCGTGTTTCGTCCCTTGTTTGGTTTCCTTTGGGCATGTGTTCGATGAAGCGATTACTGTGGGAGTGCTTGCATGCATGCGTGCACATGGGGTGAGGGGCGCGTAAAGCTGGAGTGCATGCATGCGTGTGCGGGTTGCACGGGACGATGGGGCGAGTAAAGCGGGGGTGCTTGCATTCGTGTGTGGGTTGCAGGTTGTGAGGCGGTGAGTAAAGTTGTGGGGCTTGAAGGCGTGCATGTATGGGTTGCATGGGGCGTGCGTGTGTGGGTTGCTCGGGACGAGGGGGCACGTGAAGCAGGATGCATGGGGCGAGTAATGTGGGAGTGCTCATGCGTTCGGCTGCATGTGTCGAGAGGGCGCTTGAAGCGGGAATGTTGAGCGTGTGTGGGCCGCACGGGATGAGGGGGCATGTACTGTCAGAGTGCTGGCATGCGTGTGTGCGTGGGATGCATGGGGTGAATAGGCGAGTAAAGCGTGCATGCGTGTGGGGGCTACAAGGGGACGTGTAATGTGGGAGTGCTTGCATGCATGCGTGTCTGAGTTGCATGGGGCGAGGGGGCACTTGAAGAGGGGGTGCGTGCAAGCGTTCGTGAGTTGCACGGGACAAGGGGGCGAGTATTGTGAGAGTGCTGGCTTGCGCACGTGCGTGGGTTGCATGGGGTGAAAAGACGTGTGAAGCGGGAGTGCGTGCATGCGTGTGGGGGCTACAAGGGGCGCGGGGACGTGTAATGTGGGAGTGCTTCCATGCGTTTGGGTTTGAATTGCATGGGGCAATGGGGCGACTAATGTGGGAGTGCTTGCATGCATGCGTGTCTGAGTTGCATGGGGTGATGGGGTGTGTGAAGCAGGATTGCGTGCATGTGTATGCAGGTTGCACGGGGCAAGGGGACGATTATTGTTGGAGTGCTTGCATGCCTTCGTGCTCGGGTTGCATTGAGTGAGGGGACGAGTTGAGCGAGGGTGCTTGCATGCGTGTGTGGGCGGATTGGGGCGAGAGGGCGCTTTAAGCTGGAATGTGTGTGTGGGCTACAGGTGGTGAGGGGGTGAGTAAAGCGGGCTTGCTTTCATGTGTTGAGAAAACTGGCCGCGAGTAGGACCGTGCTTGCATGGGTGCGTATGTTGGTTGCATGGGGTGAGGGGGCGAGTACGGGGGTACTTGCATGCATGTGTGGGCTGCATGGGGAGGGAGGTGGGTAAAGTAAGAATGCGTGCATGCGTGTGTGTGTGTGTGTGTGGGGGGGGTGCATCGGTTGAGGAGACCAGTTAGCTGGGGTGCTGTCCCGAGCACGACGTCCCTCTCAATCACCCTGCCACTCGCTGTCCCTAATCTACAAGGCGCTCCTGATGGATAGGACCCTCCTTCGGACGCGGCCAGCAATAAACAAGATGCTGCACCGCAGAAGGGTGCAAGGGAATGGGCGGGGGACAGGGGCGGAGGCAGGGGCGGGGCGGCAGTGTTTGTAAATGGCAAAGTAAGCGCGTGTCGGGGCGGGGAGGGGCGCACACTGATGGATAGGACTCTCCTTCGGCCGCGGCCAGCAATAAACAAGATGCTGCACCGCAGAAGGGTGCGAGGGCTGCGACACCAGCATGCTCACCTCGGGGCTGGGGCTCCTGCTGGGGGACCTGTGGTCGGCGCCTCTTCGCTCGGTTCCACTGCCGCCCGGCTTGCTTGGCAGCGCGAAGGGAGGCCTGCATGTATGGAAGCAGAGTGCGGGAATGGGCGGGGGAGAGGGGTGGAGGCCGGGGCGGGGCGGCAGCGTTTGTAAATGGCAAAGTAAGCGCGTGTTGGAGCGGGGAGGGGCGCACACTGATGGATAGGACACTCCTTCGGCCGCGGCCAGCAATAAACAAGATGCTGCACCGCAGAAGGGTGCGAGGGCTGCGACACCAGCATGCTCACCTCGGGGCTGGGGCTCCTAGCCTGCTGGGGGACCTGTGGTCGGCGCAGCTCTGTTTGGTTCGCTGCCGCCCGGCTTGCTTGGCAGCGCGAAGGGAGGCCTGCATGCATGGAAGCGGAGTGCGGGAATGGGCGGGGGAGAGGGGCGGAGGCTGGGGCGGGGTGGCAGCGTTTGTAAATGGCAAAGTAAGCGCGTGTTGGAGCGGGGAGGGGCGCACACTGATGGATAGGACCCTCCTTCGGCCGCGGCCAGCAATAAACAAGATGCTGCACCGCAGAAGGGTGCAATGGCTGCGACACCAGCATGCTCACCTCGGGGCTGGGGCTCCTAGCCTGCTGGGGGACCTGTGGTCGGCGCCTCTTCGCTCGGTTCCACTGCCGCCCGGCTCGGCAGCGCGAAGGGAGGTCTGCATGCATGGAAGCGGATTGAGGGAATGGGCGGGGGAGAGGGGTGGAGGCCGGGGCGGGGCGGCAGCGTTTGTAAATGGCAAAGTAAGCGCGTGTTGGAGCGGGGAGGGGCGCACACTGATGGATAGGACACTCCTTCGGCCGCGGCCAGCAATAAACAAGATGCTGCACCGCAGAAGGGTGCGAGGGCTGCGACACCAGCATGCTCACCTCAGAGCTGGGGCTCCTGCTGGGGGACTCGTGGTCGGCGCCGCTCCGTTTGGTTCGCTGCCGCCCGGCTTGGCAGCGCGAAGGGAGGCCTGCATGCATGGAAGCGGAGTGCGGGAATGGGCGGGGGAGAGGAGCGGAGGCTGGGGCGGGGCGGCAGCGTTTGTAAATGGCAAAGTAAGCGCGTGTTGGAGCGGGGAGGGGCGCACACTGATGGATAGGACACTTCTTCGGCCGCGGCCAGCAATAAACAAGATGCTGCACCGCAGAAGGGTGCGAGGGCTGTGACACCAGCATGCTCACCTCGGGGCTGGGGCTCCTGCTGGGGGACCTGTGGTCGGCGCCTCTTTGCTCGGTTCCACTGCCGCCCGGCTTGGCAGCGCGAAGGGAGGCCTGCATGCATGGAAGGGGAGTGCGGGAATGGGCGGGGGAGAGGGGCGGAGGCTGGGGCGGGGCGGCAGCGTTTGTAAATGGCAAAGTAAGCGCGTGTTGGAGCGGGGAGGGGCGCACACTGATGGATAGGACACTTCTTCGGCCGCGGCCAGCAATAAACAAGCTGCTGCACCGCAGAAGGGTGCGAGGGCTGCGACACCAGCATGCTCACCTCAGAGCTGGGGCTCCTGCTGGGGGACCTGTGGTCGGCGCCGCTCCGTTTGGTTCCGCTGCCGCCCGGCTCGGCAGCGCGAAGGGAGGCCTGCATGCATGGAAGGGGAGTGCGGGAATGGGTGGGGGAGAGGGGCGGAGGCAGGGGCTGCTTCACCAGCGGAAATGCATTCACCCCCAATGTGACCAGGGAATCCTCATTGGGCTCCATATCCCATAAGCTTATATCTATATCTTCCTGCAAGGTTTGAAGTATCAATAGCCTCAATGGCGAAACAACACTTGTAACGGTCTTGATCTGGTAGGCTACATGCACTGGCATCTTAGCTCGAGTAGAGGACGCATGCTTACCTTACATGTCAACGAAAGGCTGGTGTTTTAGCGTGCGTGCGGCTGGCACGTTATAGCCATCAGTTGGCGACAAGCAAAGACCCAAGCTTAGGCCGCAAACGACCAAATTACGTTCTCAAATTACGTTATCGACTCTTTACATCAACATTGTATGTTAATATGCTCAGACACGAGATGGGCGCACACACCAGGCTGCAACGTGCGGCTGGAGGGGGGGGGGCACGTTGCAGCCTGGTGTGTGCGCCCAACTCGTGTAGGAGCTTGTCGCCAACTAATTCACTATGACGTACAAGCCGCACGCACCCGGGCCCTTCACTGTCCTTTGCTTGTTGCCATTTCATTCGCTATGACGTACAAGCCGCACGCAGAATGGGCGAGTAGTGTGGCATTGCTTGCATGCATGCGTGTCTGAGTTGCATGGTGCGAGGGGGCGCTTGAGGCGGGTGTGCGTGCATGCGTGTGTGGGTTGCACGGGACGAGGGGGCGTGTACTGTGAGAGTGCTGGCATGTGCGTGTGCGGAAGTTGCATGAGGCAAAGGGGCGTGTAAAGCGGGGGTGCCTGCATGCGTGTGGGACTAAATGGGGCGAGAGGGCGCTATAAGCTGAATGTGGGCATGTGTGTGTGTGGGTTGCAGGTGGTGAGGGGGTGAGTAAAGCGGGCTTGCTTGCATGTGTTGAGAAAACTGGCCGCGAGTAGGAACGTGCTTGCATGGGTGCGTATGTTGGTTGCATGGGGTGAGGGGGCGAGTACGGGGGTACTTGCATGCGTGTGGGAGCTGCATGGGGAAGGGGGGGGGGTAAAGCAAGAATGTGTGCATGTGTGGGGGGGTTGCATCGGTTGAGGAGCCCAGTTAGCTGGGGTGCTGTCCCGCGCACGACGTCCCTCTTAATCACCCTGCCGCTCACAGCCCTTTCCTCGATGTCCCTAATCTATAAGGCGCTCCTTGCACTCGTCCTTCCGCATGTACCGGTCCTCCCAAGGGCTTCCCAGCACACAGCACGCCTCACACGTGCACTTACTCACACAGCGCCTCCAACTTGGTCTCTTCCACCTTATACGGCCAACTGGCTTCTGACAGCGTAACAATGCTAACGTATTTCTTTAAATGTTTTCGCTGGACATACTTGTATCAGTGACTCCATCCCTGGGAGTCGGGCTGAATCGCACCTCGCCTGTGGTGCTCTTCGGCGTGGGCCTCCTACGTTACTTCGGCGCTACAAAGCAAGGTTACCGAATTTTGCAGCTTGATAACGTATTCTGGTACTTTGCGACACGCATGGCAGTCAGTGTTTAGACACCGTTGTCATTGCTGGACTGCAAGCAGCCACTTTAATCCATTATACCATTAGACTGTATAAATGCTATGTAAAACGCCTTTGTTTTTTATGTGGATGTAGTGGTTTGTCGAAGTACCTTTCGCATTGCGGTGTGTGAAGGTCTGGTTTGCCGTTCACATCGTCTGTACCCAAGCTATGGCGTGAATGTGAATACTTACCGTTCTCTTCTTCGGCCACTCAACATTGTCGCTGGAGTATAAGGGCAAGTAGTTAGAATGCCGTACTAGAAAAGCGACGTCAGACGTCGTCTTTTTGAAGGGCATCATTTGCCGAGTTATGTTAACAGCACAACCACCATTGATACTCCTGCGTGTTTTTTTTGTTACCTTTCAAAGCTGTGGAAAAGCGAGGCACGACATCCTTCGGGCGAAGCCCCCCCCACCCCCTCCAGCCGCACGTTGCAGCCTGGTGTGTGCGCCCAACTCGTGTATGAGCTTGTCGCCAACTAATTCACTATGACGTACAAGCCGCACGCACGCACGCTAAAGCACCATCTTCTCTCTTGCCAATAAGCTGGGCTGCACCGTAAGTTGTGTGCAAGAAGGGGGGGGTAGGGGGGGGGCGAAGCCCCCCCCCCCTCCATCCACACGTTGCAGCCTGGTGTGTGCGTCAACTCGTGTATGAGCTTGTCGCCAACTTATTCACTATGAGGTACAAGCCGCACACACGCACGCTAAAGCACCATCTTCTCTCTTGCCAATAAGCTGGGCTGCGCACGTAAGTTGGGCGCTAGAA